AAGTACATAGTATACTTAGTTTCTTTCTTATATAACTAGTTACTTAATTATTATATATATATATATATATATATATATATATGCACACACACATATAAGTATATCATTGTTGGCGTTCTAATTCTTTTAGCCTACCTTTGGTAACAAATTTACCTAGACATTCTGTCCATTAAAGAAATATTCATACACTTATTTAATAATTTAAGTTATGGAACAGGCAAATCTACAAGTTCCCAGGTGTGGTAGTACACTGTGAAGGAAATAGTCTGGGTTTGGGAGTAAACTGACCTCATAATCCTTTTGTCTGACTGAATACTCCATGTCATACTTCTCATTTTCCAGTCGTTGGATCCGCTCGTGATATTCTTTACAGATGGCTTGAAGAGTTGCTGAAAATGGCAGCGAAGTAAGTAATTCTCAAAAAGTAGTAAAAATAATTTAACAAAAGGGTAAAACTTTGCAATAAGCAGCCCTGTAGTGCGAACATAGTCAATAATATTAAACAGGACACGTCACAAACGAAATCCGTTGTTAGTGGAGAAGCATTATGTGATTAAAACAGCTGAAACTGTACAGAAGACAGAGAATGAGCCAGCAAACCAACAGAAGAAAAACAAACAAAGAGATAAAATACACCTGCTTCTAAATCATTTTTAAACGTAATTAAAAAAAAGCAAAATATTCAAGCTAGCATCAACATTTTGATGTAAGTAAAATGAACGAAAAGATGATTGTCTTACAAGCGTATAGCATTATCAATACTAAAACACATTAGTAGAGCCAAAACTATAAATTAAAAAGTGATAATAAAATGGCTGCAGAATTTTTAAATAACGAGTTACTTAATAATAGAATGCAATTATCTGTATATATAAAAAAAAAATAATGATACGACACCAACATGAAAAAATGATTTGTGAATCAGTAAAGTACATTCTGTGTCTTTTAGCTGACAGAACAAAACTTGTTTTATTAAATGTGGTTAGATGGCGCTGTTTGCGGAAAAGTTTGTTAGATGACACAAAGCGGAGCCCAGCAACATATTTTTAGTGACAGTAAATAATGTTTTTGTTATTACTTCTTCCCATGTTTTAAGCCACAGCTTTCCGGAATACTTTCTGGCGAACATCCTACTCTCAAGGCCAGAGCTCGGCTATCGGTACCCTTTGCAAATAGCCTGCCAATGAAATAATAACTATAATAGCTTGGTTACTAAAAGTAATAACTATAATAGCTTGGTTACTAAAAGTAATAACTATAATAGCTTGGTTACTAAAAGCCTAATTATTTTTAAACTAGCACTGTTTTGGAATAATTTATTCAAATTTGTAAAATATGGCACAAGAACAAGTAAAACTTAATTATAATATACAGGGTGTCCGAAAAGTCTGGAACCATAGGCACTTCAATGAATTTTACAGAACGTCTTCAACATGCTGTTCTTGTAATTCGAAACAAGTTTGGATTACCAGTGGGATTAATTCGACCTTCTCATGCTTTGACAGCGTCATAAACAGTCACGTATATGAAATTAAGAAAAGTTTCAAATCACCTATGGTCCCAGACTTTTCGGACACCCTGTAGAATAATAACAATATTTCCAAAAATAAATACGAAGCCCAATCTACCATTAGATTCCCCCCTCTTGTTGCTAAGTTATACCGGTTTCTGGGCATTCCATCCCTCATCAGTAATTCTGAACAAGGGTTTCTAAATATTCAGTTATGTTTGGAGTATTATAACGTACAAGGTTCAAAGAATTGTTTGTTTGTTTGTTTTTGAACTTCGCGCAAACCTACACGAGGACTATCTGCGCTAGTCGTCCCTAATTTAGTAGTGAAAGACTAGAGGGAAGGTAGCTAGTCATTATCACCCACCGCCAACTCTTTGGCTACTCTTTTTACCAACTTGATTGACCGTAACATTTGAACGCCCCCACGGCTGAAAGGGCGAGCACGTTTGGTGTGACGGGGATTCGAACCCGCGACCATCAGATTGCGAGTCTAGCGCCCTAACCAACTGGCCGTGTGCCGCGCCAGTTCAATGGACAACAGTAACATTGTTCTTACTTCCACAACACTTAACTAGATGTCACTAGTTTCAAAATGGCCGGTGTTTTCTTCACGAATTCACGGAAAAAAATACTGTGTCATGAGAATTATTGAGAAAACATCAACAGAAACACGAGCCTTTAATTTTATTTGTTGGTTAAATATATGGAAGAATAATCTCAAGAAACGGGTTTCATTGATGTTATTTCAACCTTTTAGGCCAAGTATATATATATAAAAAAAAAAAATAGTTTA